GATGTACCTAAGGATTGCTTATTTAGCATTGTCCTTCGGCTCCCCCTTGAGTTCTTCGTGATCTTGTGGTTTGACAACAAGCCAAGGTATAAAGTCATCAACAACCCCCATTTCATGAACCTCTAGTTGGTCAACAGAAGAGGCTAAAGAAAACTGGGTAAGTTGCATGCACAATCTCATACTCTAAAATCTAATTGTTAAAATGAATAAAATTTGATTATATAGTTATTTATTGGTATATGTAAAGACTTGATGATATCAAGTAGAAAAAAATATTCTGAACAAGGCGTTGAGAAGAGTGCACAAGGTATATTTTTTGAGGTTCTTAGCCATGCATCTGGTTATGTAACGGGTTATGGGTATGGCCCGAGGCCGCCAAGTAGATGTAAAGCATATGACTCGTATGGCCAACACTTCCAGAAGGAACTACTAGAGGCACAAGAAAAGTTGCATGAATCAGAATTTCAAGTGATTGAGCTTAAGGAGCAAGTTAGTGATTTGAACAACCAACAACAAGAAGGTGCAAGTATCGATGAACTTATGACTTTCATGGTTGCCATTGGGAACAAAATCTTACCTCAAACATTACATTTATGTAATAAGTTTCATGTTAGTCATGTGCAAAATTACTTTAGTGTCCTACTCTTCATATTTTAGTTACTATACATTGATTTGGAAAGCTTAAACATACAGGCGAGCATTTTTTTGTGTTGCTACTTGGATTTAGCGAGAAGAAGGTCCTGAGGCTAGTGTTTTTGAGGTTGATATATTCAAGACACTCTATCACGAGATATGTCAAGTTAGAAAAGTGATACAATGGGATTTATTATATTTTTTATTAAAGTACTTTTGCTTTGTTTTTTTATTGTGTTTGGAATATTTTGAGATTGTTAGTTCGTTTATTTATGTTTTTAAATTGGCAAAATTCCTATTATTGTTGTTTTTTAATTTATCATTTAGCACATATTACCATCACATATTAATTATAATTTCATCAATTAAATGAGCTTAATGATTAATGGTGCTATGAGTGTTTAGTGTCACGATATAATTGTTTTAAGTGATGAAATATTTTGACACTGTATTTTTCTTTCATGACATAATTGTTTCAAGTGACGATAGATTTTGTCACTGTACTATCTATTTTATCACAAATACAATTATCACTAAATATCTACAATTAATTATAATTATTATATGTATAATATTGACAAATTTTAAATTGTCATTAAAAATAATTTTTTATGACAACATGTAATTGTGATGTATTTGTTTGGATTTGTCACCATACAAAATTTTAAGATGACAATAAATTTTGTCACTAAATATTTATCTTTTCATGACAACTTATGTTGCCATGAAAAAATAACTCTTTCATGACGACCAATATTTTGTAATTATAAAATAACTCTTTCATGACGAATTATATGAAATATGACGTTTTTTTATAACGAAAACGCCACAAAGATATTCGTCAGTGAAATTTTATAAATTCGATAAAATAATAAAATTCGTCACTAATAAATAATATTTAGATGACAAATTTAAGTTTTCGTCATTTAAAACTTGTCTGATTATGACAAAATAATCATTTATGTGGCAAAATTTTCATAATAAATGTGACGAAATTATTGTCATGAAAGATGACCAAATAACATGATAATACTTATAAACGTCATTAAAAGTGAAAAATTTGGTAACAAGTTCAAAATTTGTCACATAGACCTATTATGACGCGGCTATGGTGACGATCTCTGTGACGATAAAATTTGTTTTCAATTTACTTTTGTGACGAAAAATAAGGTTTACATGACGAATTTTATCGTCATGTTTTCTGAAATTTCTTGTAGTGTCCATATGTTCTGTAATTTAAAAAAAAAATTGAACAAAACACTGAGAAATCCAAGTAAAACAAAGAAATTATTTTGGATTCAACAAAGCCGATTTTGGGGTTCATTTTTTTGGAGATCGATTTTAATCTTAGAATTGAGGAATGTGTGAGGAGGAGAGGTTTTTGGGGATTCAACAAATTTTCGGCGGAGGGCACCGAAGAGGTTGACGTGCTTTTCTTCGGCGTGACTAGCATGAGTGGTGATGGGGATTGGGGGAGCAATCGACCGGTTTTGCGATTTTGGAGGTTTTGAGGGAGATGAGTTTCTTCTTNGGAGGTGAAATTTTAATTAATTTAAGGGAAAATGACATGGAAAAAATGAAAGTGGCCACGTCAGTTAATTTGCGGAAATCAGTCCACATCAGCTTAGTCAACATTGAAATTTGCCAACTCAACAACTTCTAATCGAATTCCGGATAGTTCTCAGAGAGTACGAACTTGTACGCTTCTACAGCCAAGATAATGTCCATGTTCCTCTTATCATCATTATAATTGGGACCAGTAAGTTGATTTTCTTTTAGAATGACAGAAAGCGGATTGAAAGACATGATGAATGAAGTCTGAGAATCACGAAAAATTTTACTAATTATATACAATTTGAGTCTAAACATTAACATTGATATCCTCAGATATTATTAATCTAAATTTGTCGACATCTCAAAACATCGAGAGGAACGCATGACGTCATAGGGCGACTCTACACACTCAACATTTGTAGGAAAAGGGTATTCAATAGCTTATTAATTTCTATAAGCCAAAACACAGTTCATGGCGAACGAAATTGATAGTTGATTCCCTTTTGTCCATGCAACAACAAGTCAGTGACTCACATAAGGGAGGATAGCTCTTGTCACACTCTAAGTGTAGCAAGGTCGGGTCAAAGTGCAACATGTCCCTTTTCAAGACCAACTAGTCGATATCTTCACAAAGTCACTATCGAAACAATTCTTCACGAAGCTTCGGGCACATCTGCATGTTCTACCGTCACCTATGCTCGAATTGTGGTGGGGACTGAAAGCCACGATATTGAAGTCCAACACAAGAAAATCAATACAAAAGCCCACAAGGAAATTAGCACATGAGCATTACTCAAGTTTTCCTCTCATTAGCTCATTTTTTACTTGCACCCATTTTTGTCCTTGCATGGCAGCATGCATGAGCTGTCATGCCTCATCCCAGATTCCTTTTGGATGTCTTCTAGCCATTGATCTCATTGTTACCGATAGATTGAGTTGTAGCCCTAGTTTAGGTCTTTGACTAGTAGCTTTTGGTAGCTCCATTGTATTTGAAAATTACTGAGCAAACTTTATGCAACGTTGAAGAATTTCTCGTTGTCTTCTTCTTTTTTAGCTTATAGTCATTAATGGCGGTCAACATTTTAATAGAACCCTCGGTTCTAGTTTCGCTGAGCTTAGGATTTAATTCGTAGTTGTCCGTAATTTGCATGATTTTGACAATCTTCACCAAGTCACTGTTAGAATATCACTTGTGAGTTGTCCCACATCATTTATACATGGAAAATAGACCCACCTTATAAGTCTAATGGGTTACTCCTCCTTCCACCAATTGGTTTTGGGATGGAACTTCACTATGGTGCACCTAGGCTCACCCTCTTATGGTGTGCTTCTAGTGGGACCACACCCTCTTCCCCCGATTATATAAATTTAATATGGTATCAGAGTCGGTTCTATTGGGTCCGTGCGATGAGGTACCCGTTTTCCAGCCTGTTTCTAGTAGGGCTTGGGTCTACGTACCCATTTTATGGGAGCCTGTTTCTAGCAGGACTTGGACCCACATACCCGTTTATGGGAGTCTGATTCTAGTAGGGGCTTGTGGCACCCAACTCTGTATATGAGCTTGGGATTCTTATTAAAACTCACAAGTGAGGGGGCGTGTTAGAATATCACTTGTGAGTAGTCTCACATCGTTTATACATGGAAAATAAACCCAACTTCTAAGTCTAATGGGCTACTCCTGATTCTACTAATTAGTTTTGGGATGGTACCTCACTATGGTGCACCTAGGCTCACCCTATTATAGTGCGCTTCATCTGGTGGGACCGCACCCTTTTCCCCCAATTCTATAAATCTAATAGTCCCAATACCTTTATCCTGCCACTAATGTTAAGTCTACCTTATTTGATGAATTTTTTAAATTAATATACTAAGTTTGATGTCCGCCGAAAATGTGGACCTTTGTTAGAGGATACCAATATAATGGACTTAAAATGAAATTTTGTCCATGCATCCCATACACGCATGATTTAATATTTAGAAATGAATCGAGTCGAGTTGAATAATAGCTTTTATCGAGCAAAGATGAATTTTTTTTCACTGTTGCACGAGTTCAACAAACCATGATTTTCAAGATTTGGCTCAGCTCCATAAAAATATACAAATGTTTGATATAGGCTCCAGAATTTTATGAGCTTGAATTTTCACTATAAAAATCTATTCAAATTTCTCAACTTGGGTCAAATCAGCTTGATATTCGCTCGAATTTAGCTCGATTTAGGGTATTAAAGTAATTTACACTTATATCCAAGTTGCACGTTAAACACTCGAGCTTGTGAAATATATGCTGGAGATGAGCTCTAGTTCGGGTCATCGAACAATAGGAAAAGAAGGTTTCACCGTAAAGGATCAGATTTTCAGCTCGTTAGCAAGTAAGGTTCGAGGTGTTCGAGTTTTGGTCGAGCCCTAACTCGAGCCGTTCTTAATTCGTTAATTTGAAGCCCTTATGAAAGGAGTGCTATGTTTCAAAATTCTGTCGAGTTTCACTGTAATTAGACCAAACTCCTAATTTTTTTAAACATAAAATAGAGGGGAAATGAAGGAGAGATTGAGGAAAGAGTCCAAGAAGGTGCACATGGCGTTAGGTAGACAGTTACAAACTGCTCATCTCATGCTTCCTCTAAACAGTAACTGACCATTTCTTTTCACTTCACCGTGTCTTGACCTTACCAAAAACATTTCACGACACAATATTGTCTCATAAAGTACAAATTGTAACAACCTCTATATAAACCCATCGAATTACCCGCAACATGCATTCACATTTTTCACTCATTAATGTCATTTGCTTAAAAGGAAGAAAAGAAATTGAAAAAATGGGCATATACTTAGCCACTATCTACTTGATCTTGCTCAACTTTTCAGCTTCGTTTGCCAACATCACAAACACGACTGTATCCAACGAGGCAGAAGCATGTGTCGATGCTAACATCGTTTTAAGCTTTAATTTCTACATTAACAGTTGCCCTGAAGCCGAACCAATCGTTTTCTCTTGGGTTGAAAAAGCGCTTTCCGATGACCCGAGAATGGCTGCCTCTTTGCTTCGTCTCCATTTTCACGATTGCTTTGTCAATGCAAGTACACATTTTCTTACTTCCATTTTATTTATGTTTGTGAAAATTAAGGTTAATTAAATGCGAATAATTTATTTTTTTTTGTTTTAATTTCAGGGATGTGATGCGTCGGTGTTACTCGACGACACGTTGGGTTTCGTTGGGGAGAAAACCGCGGCTCCAAACGCGAACTCCTTAAGGGGATTTGAAGTAATAGATGCCATAAAAGCTGATCTTGAATATGTCTGCCCTCAGACAGTGTCTTGTGCTGATATTCTTGCTATTGCAGCTAGAGATTCTGTTGTGCTGGTAAGTGGTTAACTTAATTGCATGTGCATGCAAATTAAATTGTCTCTTTTCATCATTTTTTTTTTTTTTTTACTTTGACATACTGAAATTGGTGATAAATTAAGTACAATCATCAATGTTTACACAACATTTGGCATTAGTTATTACTCTAATTGAATAGATTTTGAATTTTAGTTAGCTTATTAAAATGGGATTTTTCTTTTATAGTATTATTATTAATTTTTTTTTTGAATTTTTTAGTCAGGTGGGCCTGGATGGGAAGTGGAAATGGGCAGGAAAGATAGTGTGGGGGCCAACAAAGCCGCAGCCAACAGCAATATACCTGCTCCTAATTCTGATTTATCAACATTGTTGTCAAAATTCCAGAATCTTGGCCTGTCACTCCAAGACATGGTTGCACTTTCTGGTAATTGAATAAAACCCAGTTTTNGAGCAGGCGCGCACACCATGGGAAAAGCCCGATGCTCGACATTTGCCGCTCGTCTAAACAACAACAACAACACGAACGACATTATTTCCGATAATGCCCCTAACGTCAACCTCGAATTCCTACAGTCACTCGAGCAGCTATGCTCGCAACCCAGTGCTGGCTCGACCCTTGCCGACCTCGACCACAGCACGCCCACGACTTTCGACAATCAATATTACCTCAATCTTCTCTCAGGCGAAGGCCTTCTTGGGTCCGACCAGGAGTTGCTGAAGGAGGGCCCGCGTGGCATAATCGAGCTCTACGCGGATGATGTGGACGTGTTTTTCGAGGATTTTAAGAAGGCTATGCTGAAAATGGGGAGCCTGCTGGGGAGTGGAGGGGCGCCGGGAGAAATTCGTAGAAATTGTCGGGTTGTTAATTGATTCGTGGTGATGACGTTAAATACGAGCTGCATTAATTGTGCTTGTTTGTTTGTTTGGTGATTGCTTGTTGTTGTTATCTATGTTGGAGTATTGTTGTTGGTATTATTATGTCGTGAAGTTTTTAATGTTTGTGGTGGAATGTAATGTATGTCTGTTTCTGGCTTATGGTTATGGAATTATGTTTCATTTTAAGCACTTTTACGTACATGTTTACTATATTTTTTGGAAATTTTAGCAAAGAATGTGATATTTTAAATGTAAAGTTAAATAAACTATTAATATAATACAATCAGAAATAAATAACAAAAATATATTACAAATCAACCATTCATATAAACTATAAAAATTAGTATATTTGAAAAAAACAATCATAAATACGCAAAATAAAAAGAGATTTGTAGGTGTGTGATGTAATCAAGGACCTAGTATTGGTAGAAATTTAAATAAGACATGGAGTCATGGACATGTAATTAATCTGATGTTGTAGAAACTTACTCACGGTGTCTCAAATGAAGGAATGTACAAAACAAGGTAAACTACACATACCAACAAGAGGATGCAATTGGATTCCCGTTACAAATCATTATCTACCAATCAAAAAATGAAATATGGATCCATCTCATACTTTTAGTAATTTTTTTCATTAAAAATCAATCATTAAAATACAATTATATATAAATTTTATAATTCATTCACTCAAATATTTATAAATGTCAAAATTTACTATTTTTTAAATCACGTGACTTTATATTGAAGATATCATTAACTCTCTCAGTATATTTGTTTAAACAATGAAAAACAAAAATAAGGGTGGATTTTGTTACAATAATGGATTGGGCTTGATTAATTCACATTGGACTTATTCACTTTGCATTTGATAGAATAAGGCTCATTAATATGTTTGGCTCAAGTGGATAACTATACTTAAAATGCAATATTATATTTTTGCCTTGCGTATTGAATTAAATTTGCAAGTGTTGCCCTCAATGTGAAAAATGATAACTGGTGGTATAGTTTTGTATATTTTTGTTGTTATTTTATGTGTTTTTAAGTGTCTTATTTGTGGTCGTTTTAATTTATTTTAAGTTTATCCTGCCCCATTGTAGCGCCCCTTTCGATTTATATGATTTCTTGCACTTATTTTAATTATCTACATTATGTGCTACTATTATTTTATTTTATGTGCAAAGATTGAATATTATCCTTATATACATGGTTTGACTTATAAACTGATTGCTTGTATTTTATTTTATTATTGCTTGCTTCTATTTCATTATATTTCTGCTTGCCTTGGATTATTATAAATTACTCGTTTTGTGTAATTGCTCTCGTTGAATTTAATTGCTTGTCTTTATGTGTTAGTTAGATCGTTCGGCGAATTTCAGTTTAATCGCGTAGATTTATTTTCGAGCTATTTGCGTTTCATCTGGACCTTGGAGGTTATTTTATTCAGCCCAAGTATCTCTAACAATCGGCCCAAATTTATGTCAAAACCTGACCTTCCTTTTAACCCAACACATTCGGCCCAATAAGCATACTTTGGCCCAAGTTTTTGTTTGAATTTCAAATTTTTGCCTTAGTTTGATGAGGAATATTTTTAGCTATCAATTCCCCCTCATGACCGGTCAAAGCCTTGATTTACGCCTTTATTTTGGTATTAAAAATATCTCATTATTCTTCCCTCAATATCTCAACTGGTATTCACCGTCCTCCTTTTACTACTCACCGCCCCCTTAATTACTTTTTTACCCTTAACCTTTTTGTGATTCTATTTCTCTAAACCGTTTATCTCTCTAAAAACCCGAACATTCAAAGCGCGATTCGACAACCGAAAAAATTCCGAAAAAATGTCGAAAAAATTCTACGGCATGGGCAAAGCATTAATCTCCGGCAAGGTAATTTTTTTTTTTTACTACGTAAATTATTTAAAATTATATTTTTTTTAAATTCTGCCCGGCGTCCGGTCGTCGGTTCTGGACGCCGGCCGTCCGGTCGCCGGTTCCGGACGGCCGAAAAATCGGTCGGAATCGCCGGCCGAACGGTTAAAACACCGTTCGGAACCGGCGACCAGTCGAGACAAAAACCGATCGGAATCGGGGTCTGGCCGGTCTGAACCGGACCGGCCCCGCCGACCGGAATTTTTTTTTTTTTTGTTTTTTTAAATAATAATTATAATAATAATTAATAATAATAATTATTATAATTATTATTAGAAATAATTATAATAATAAATTTAGTTAATTATAATAATTCTAAATTATAAATTATAATAATTATAACAATTTTGTAATAATAATTATAATTAATTTATAATAATAATTATAAATTAGAATTAATTATAATAATTTTAATAAAAAATTCTAATAATTATTATAATTAATAATAAAAATTTGTAATAATAATTATAATAAAATTAATTATAATAGCAATTAATATAATTAAAATTAATTTCAATTAATAGTAATAATTTGTAATAATAATTATAATTACTTATAATAATTATTATAAATGTGAACAATAATAATTATTATAATAATTAAAAATTATAATAATAAAACGTATATTGATTATTATAAAAATCAATTGTAATGTATTTTAATAGTTATTATAATAATTATTACATATGTAAAAAGTTAATAATTATATTTATGATTCAGGGTGTTAGCAGAGCTGGACAGTCTAATGTCAGGGACGACGACGAGGCGTTCGATGACTATTATGATGGTTCTGGCACCCGACACACTAGAACTCGGGGTGTCCATGCGTCTGTTCGTCGGGACAGACAGGCGATGATCGATGAGGCTCGGAGGGTACAGCTTCGTCAGGCTGGTCAGAGTTCGAGACCCCCTGCACCTGTGCGAGATGGTCCGCAGGGATATCATTTTGAGGGCCAGCCAGATGGTTCGCGACCCCACGGACTCCTTCCGTACGGTGAGCATGGATTTTATTATCCTGGGCAGGCAGGCAGTTCGATGCCCCCGGCACCAGGACCGTACGATCAGTCGCGATATCCTTTTCCCCGCTACGTAGGGAAGTCGATACCTCCTCGCGCACGCGTACCATTACCTTATGGTCAGCGGGGGTTTGCTGATGAGTTGTACGGCGAGAGGGAGGATGGTCCAGAGGAGTGTGATGACTCGGACGACTCCTCTGATGACTCGGACGACCACGCACAGCCTACGGGTCCTAGCCACCCTCGTCCTCCTGTATAGCCTGTTCGTCCGGTACAGCCGATTCTGAGGCATGTTCGTCCGGTACAGGCTTTCGTCCTACACAGCCTGCTCCTCAACAACGACAGGCTGGGGGCGTTTTGGCCCCGCTGCATCCTCATCAGGTAATAATTTACGTATTTATTGTTGTTTTCATCAGGTAATAATTTACGTATTTATTGTTGTTTAACATAAATTGTTTTGACTTAATCATAACAAATTATCGGTACTATTAGAAAAGTATTATCGGCTTGCTCCTCAACTACGGTATAATTATTTTGTAATTTAGAGGAACCATACAATTAATTAGTTAGAAAATTATTATAATTATTTTTATTATTGTTATAATCAATTAGTAGTAATGTTTAGGGGATTAATTAGTTTAAAATTGTCATTATAGTTTATTAATGTAAAATGTAACGGTTGTACATTAATTGAAAAAAAAGAACGGGAAACTTATGAAATATGTTTTATTAAATATATTTTATTTAATGCATCTGCCAGCAAACCTACATATACAGATATGTTGTATTGTAATGCAGGTACTAGCAAACGAGCTAGGACCGATGATGATGCACCTTGGATCGTTAAAGGCCCAGTGGACGGTGGGCCCATTGATGGGAGTGTCATCCCTAGCTTTCTAGGGCACGTCGCCTCCCGCATGTGGAGTGGCCAGTTGAGGGGGCTGCTAAAATGCCACAACAGACTGAGAGCGGTCGAGAATCTGATCGACGGTACCGGGCTGTCACATCTGGCTGACTCCATGCACATCCACTTGGACACCCCACTCATTTCTGTGTTTGTGGAGCGATGGCAGCCGGATACTAACTTGTTTCACCTGCCTTTTGGTGAGATGAGCATCATGCTGCACGATGTCCGTGCCATTTTGGGCGTTCCTGTGGAGGGAGCCGTGGTCGCTGAGGACCCGGATTCAGACGCCTGCCATGGGCTCTGCATGTCGATACTTTCGGTCAACAAGGGCGAACTCATGAGTTCGTTCTGGCAGCGTGGTTCGGTGACCGAATCCTCCATTGTGGGGGCCTTTAGGAGGAAAGGCCGGCCGGCTAGGGATGAGGCGGGTGCTTGGATGTGGGTGATGCTGGCTACCACATTGTTCGTCGACAAGAGTGGTAGTAGAGTGACCCCCAAGCTCCTGCACGAGGTGCTCGCCGGCTTGGATTTGATTGGGGGTTACTCCTGGGGATCGGCTACGCTGGCATACCTGTACAGACAGCTCGGTATTGCCAGTCGAGGGGACTCTGCCCAAATGTCGGGCTGCGGGGCTCTTCTGCAGTCTTGGATATATGAGTATTTCCCCGATTTCCGACCCCAGGGGCGTCTGCCCATCGGTCCTGACTGTTTTGCACGGTCTCGCTCGTGGAGCGTAGGGAATGCGCCAAAGACAGAGAATCGGCTCACAGCCATCCGTCGACGCCTCGACAGACTCACTGCCTCCGATGTACGTGAAGTTATTTTATTTAAATTTAGTTACCCGTTATTTAAAATAATATAATTATTTTTATAAATGCTTTTATGCAATTGTGAACAGGTGCAATGGTTGCCATACGGCAGCTCCAGCCCAGATTCGATAGAGCCGAGGACTCTTTATAGCGGATTGATTCGATACCGCGATGTCGTCGAGTCGTACTTGCCTGCGCGGTGTCTGCGTCAGTTGGGATATGTCCAGACTGTCCCTCCACCTATATACCCGCCAATCAGTGCCGTACGTGCTTGGGAGTCTAGGAACTACAGGGTTGATCATTCTGAGGCTGGTGCAGT